ATTCGGACTTTCCATAAATCTATCACGATCACAATAGTCGAAACATGAACAATCGAGTTTACACGACAAACGAAAATATACGTTATCTCTAATGCGACAAGGTTTATAGTAATGCTATGGTATTAAACCTGCATGTTTGGTCAAGACGTCAAACTGTCAAATTTCTTCAATCAATTTTCAACTCTATTGTTTGTATTAGCGTTGAAAATCTTATTGAAGAAATTAGACTGAATTATCTGACGGCTGCACATACACAGACAACTATTCAAGTACAATGTACTTACATAATTTGTATTTTGTGAGCGAGACAAAAAGTTCTATGTTACATTACCCAAATCACTTTCTTCGCGTCGAATCGACATTTTCATTGTCACTATATTCGCTTTACAAACATTCTTCACACTTCGATATTGACTATTTAAATACCAACACAAAGAATTAAAAGTTCTACTACAACCATAATACCATATAACTGCAGTTGTACCAGTGGATGGGTGTCGTGCTCCCGTGGCGTGTCACCGCCAGGCGCGGCGCGCGCGCGGCGTGCCCGGGGAAGCGGCGCCGGAGCACGCGGCCGATGGTCATCTAGTCTTGCGCACTCTCCAGCAACGTATGCGGCCGTCACTGTAAAAGTTAGTACATTATTTTTTATCCTTACACTATTGGTAGCAAAGATTGGTAAGCGGACACCGTTGCCTAAATAGATCTGCAACATCCTTTTATTATTTAGATGTTGCTGGTCAAGATTCAAACGCTGTTTGCGTCCGAAATTAATAATAATGATCATCTTAAAATGAAAGTAAGAAAGCAAACTGACTTTATCTCAATTTACCAATAAGGGACTTTTGAAAATTAATATCAGTATCAGGATAAAAATTATTAATTCTTAAGAACACATTAACTTTAAACACAATTTAAATATTAGCGCATGTTAGTGCAATAGTTTGTTCAGGTGGAGGCAGTTAAATAGACACCTTCACCTATTGCTTTAAAGTTCATTTTACAATGCTTAGAGGCAAAGTAAAAACTAAACATTTATGTTAAAGAAATCTTAAGAATTGAACAAGCTTGATGCTTTGTAATTATGTCTAAATTATAGTAAATTTTATACACAAAGGGTACGGTTAGATAGAAAAGAAATATATTATAACAACAGCTAATACTACACACAACATTTAAAGCTTTGGATTAGTTAATGGATAGGTTAGAGTATTCACCTGATGTTATAAGTAAAAGGTAGATAGGTTACCTAAATAGCATTCGATCTTCAAAAACGGCACACTAACGCGACAGCGCAACGCAGATTTGCGGTAAATTAACATAACATCTCGCCTTTTATCCAAAAGGTTGTTAGAGGTGCACATAGCAGCACTTAATGCTACTGTACAATGTAACACCCACTTTTCACTATTTATGTTATGAGTCCCATGTAATAGGGGGTGAGCCTATTGCCATATACAGCACACAATTCCAGACTGAGAATTATTAAAAACCAAGTTATACTTTGAAGTAAACTGTGGCCAATTTTAAAGTGCCACTTTCTAAGTGAATGTGCCACGTACGGCACTCTGATTGGCCGGCTCCAATGAACTGACCAATCAGAGCGCCGAACGCGGTCTCGTTTCTATTAATTTAACCGTAACAACCTCGTACTCAGGCCTCTGAGCGCTTATAACCTATCTACACCTTCTTAGTTACAAAATCAATGGTGTTTACTAAATAGATGGATAGTAAATGGAACCTATTGCACCAAATATTATTATGTACTTGACATTTAATAGATTATTCAATAAAAAATAAACACATGCAATAATATTATGATGAATATTTTAACCTCTTCTATGTCGGTATTTAAGACACAATAAAAAACTGATTGTGTCTCGCGTAGATCTACGCTCTGACGTACTAGAGGTACTTTTTCTATGAACTATTGTAAGAAATACTAAATTAACTAAAATACAGGTTTGATCACGAAATTATACCGAGAAAAGCTCTACTAGTTTCGAGTCACAGAGGGACTCTTGGTTCGAAAATAGTAGAGCGATTTTATTTCGTATTTCCGAGTCACGAGCACCTCTGTAACACGAAACTAGTAGAGTTCTTTTTCTCAATTTAATTTTTAGGTTTGTCAAAATTTTCATAAAATTATTATATCTCTCAAAATTTTTGTTATCAATAGCATCTTAAGATAGATTTAGTTCAAAAATTGTGGCTATATATACCTTTATAAATGCTTAATAGAAAATATTCAATTATTATTAAATATTTTCTTTCGTGATATTAGTATTAAGAAAAATGCACTATAAGACACATGAACGATTTTACTTGACGGTCGAAATTAATAGCACTTTTCAATTTAAAATCGATTATTGACATTACTTCCATGGTTTCTGACAAAACCAGAGATTTTTGTTCAAATCGGCTTTAAATTTCGTAATACATATATGTAATATTAGTAAATTATCGAAAATTTAAATAGGACATTTATAAAGGTATATATTATGAAAAATTTTGGTGTTATATTTCACAGGAGTTGAGAGCGAAGCGCAGAATTGCCTGTGAGTGGGGTGAAGCGGCGGCGCGTGAGCAAACTACAGTGCGACATACTAATCAGTAGTCACACAGAATGATTTGTACAGACTCGTTTCTTTTTATACATCTAGCGTTTAGCAAAACTGTCATCAATTTTGTACGCATTTTTATTAAAGGACCAATCTCCCCAGTTTCCCCCAATCCCCGAATCCTGCACAATCCTCAAATTCTCAATTACCAAAAGGCCGGTAACGCACTTATAACGCCTTGATGTTCCAAGTATCCATGGGCGACGCCGATTGCTTACCATCAGGTGATCCGTCTGCTACCGGCTTATGCCATAAAAAAGGCGAACAAAGCATTTATTTCAGCTAAACCATAAACAGGTACTTTTGAACTGTCAACAAATAAAGAATAGTCTGTCAGTCTCTCCGTCAGTGAAGGTAGATGCTCGTTCCAAAGTGTAGATTCGAATGGAGAAGAACGAGCAAGAAACTACATCTTGAGGAGTACTAAATTAACTATAAATCGTGGGTTACGCACGTGATATACTGAGAAAAGCTCTACTAGTTTCGAGCCACAAAGGGACTCTTCCTAATGAGCAGCGTGCGCAGTCGCGGCGATGTCGCGCAGCCTACTGGCTAGCGTCGGCGCTTGCGTTGGTGTTGTTACTTGACTCATGAAAAAGAGCCCCTCTGTGGCTCAAAACTAGAAGAGCTTTTCTCAGTATATTCACGTAAATAACCCACGATTTTTAAATAAGAAACTTTATCGTTAATCTAATATTATTGTATAAGGTTTTGCTATTAGTTTATTAGAGATATAACCTGATTAACATTGTATTTTTGATTGTGCTAAGTATCATCATTATCATATCAGCCACAGGACGCCTAATTGCTGAACATAGGCGTTCCCCTATTGAGGTCTACCTGCATCCAAAAGTTCACTGCGGCCTTAGCTGTTTAATCTCCGGATGGGGCAATATTACAGGATTTCATAATTGTTTTAACACTTCTCATAATTTTTATGATCTCAGTTGCATTTTTGTCACCAAATATTTGCTTGGGTACATTTTGAGAGCATTGCAAAAATAATCAAACATGTTTACAATCATGTTCGGAAGAAGAATAGTATGTAGTTAGGTAGTCCATAAATTACGTGACGTGTTTTTTTTAATTGTCTGTTCCTCCCTCCCCCTTGGTGAGATTTTATTAAACACCCATCCCCAGTTTTTCACGTAAACGCGTTGGATTGTTATTGCAAAAAGAAAAAAAAATCCATGTGCATGTAGAATTAAATCTTAATCTGGAACAAATAAACTATGAAGTCGGTAAAAATTGTAATATTTTTTGTTTCTATCAGAAAAAAAATACGTGATATTTGCCGAGACTCCCCTCTCTCCAACGTAAAATTCGATGAGATTTGAGTCTACACCCTTAAATATCTCACTTAATTTATGGACGCCCCCTTAGATTGTATGCAAAAATTAAGAGCTCAGGCAACACATAGCGTATAATTCTTTTAAGCAAGCACTTCTCTTTGAGGCTTTGCTAAGCAGTTGGTATTTATAGTCTGTTGATAAAGCACTTTTCTGTGTCAATACATATCGTAAAACGGGGTGAATAGAATACGAGAGATGAATAGATACAGGAATGGGGTGAATAAAAATTTGAACTATTCTAAATATTTATTTACCCCTCTTCTGTATCTATTCACCTCTCGAATTCTATTCACCCTGTTTTACCGTACACATATTGTCAAACTGTATGCGAATGCTAATAGATTATTATACTTGAAATTAAAACCTATAAACAGACCTCGGATTTTAATAAAAGAAGGATTTTCATGACAAACAACTTATACCCGATCCGGGTATTAAACTGGAAATGTCTATATTACTTTTTTAGATATACTTTTAAACCACAGCCAATAATGAATACCATCAATACTACCTACATGATAGAAGCTAAGAGTATTAGTCGCTATTATCAATGAATAACTATTTTAGTACATTTTACGTATAACTGATGATTCAATTGCTATAACAAATTGTTTCTGCTAAATAAATATATTAAAGTATATAGCACTTATGTCTGCTTGGTTAGTGAACGTTTAGCGACATTTAAAGCTATATAAAGGCGTGGAGTGTGAGTGGTTCAAAACTAGCTCTTATTGCTATAGACAGAAAGTGTATTATTGGATTTCGTGATTTGTATGTGTTTGTTAAATTGTTGCTTTCAGTCCAGGTGAGGTGGAAATGTGCAGGACAAGACATCGATTGCAAGAACAAGTAAATTGGACATAAAAATAGTTTAGTGCTCTTTTTGTCTTTGCTAGTTCTGTGCTTTAGCGCCACTGGTGACGTATGTCATCTCACTGGGGGCTACCGTATTTTGATCACTAGATGGCAATAGTACCTCTTGTTTGTCATCCAATAGGGGATTAGCTAGTATCACACCATTGGACGTTCAGTATTTGACAGAAGCAGTAATTGGACATATAATCTCTTCTAAATTTGCGCCATCAGGTGATTCAAAAAACGGTGGCCCCACTAGTTTACCAGGAATAGTTTGATTGTTACTGTACCAACGCGTCATAGCAGTGAATTTAGGTGGGAAGATTGAATATATTAGTGTGTGTGTGTGTGTGTGTGACAAGTATGTAGTGGTGTATGAGTGTCTCAGCACCTGTGAGTGTCACTGCTCGAGGGTGACCCGCCAGGAGCGCACTTCGCCGCCGCTGCAACACACTCACATGTTACTCACTTATACTCACTACACTATCTACTGCGACTGTTATTGGGGACACGACTAACTAAACACAATGACCTGGCACATTGAAACAAGAAAGTTAATTTAAACATACATTTAAGGTATCTGTTAGGCTGTTTACACATTACGTCGCGGCTGTGATGCCGCATTACTTTCAATAAGATGTGGAGCTTTATTTACAACGCCTCGGCGCGGCGGCAGCCAGACTATGCACTGAGGTGGCAGTGTCATGTGTAAACAGCCTTACGTTTTCAATGACATAACCCTATTGAATAATTTGTATACAAACAAAGGTAAAAATAGTGTTAAATTAGAAGACACATTTTTACAGAGATCACTTCTAATAGTAAATAGGAGTCTACATAAGATTCATTTTAGTCAAATTGCGTTTTTAAACCAATAATTTCATTGCTTTGTAAATATAACGTTATTTTAAACACCCTATACACAAAGACAACCCCTACGTTTATTGAAATATCTTTCTACTATATTGACTCAATAATAAAACAAAGGTAACATAGGTGTGAGTACTGACTTGCCGGCGGTGTAGAGCGCGGGCGCGGCGGGGTGCGCGCGCAGGGCGTGCGGCAGGTCGGGCAGCGCGGCGGGCGCGGCGGCCGGCCGCAGCGCGCCGCTCCACAGGCGCAGCGCCGCGTCGCGCCCGCAGCTCGCCACCAGCCCGGCCCCGCCCGCGCCCACCACGCACACGCCCGTCACCCAGCCTGCACGGACACGTTAACGTTCAAATTATTCACAATAACTGCTCATTATACATAATAAACAAATTGCTTAGTCAATGTGATAAATTAATCAATTTAACTCGTCGAGTACCGGTTTTATAGACACAATTAAAGAACAATAGGTCGCGGTCACCGGTGACCGCTTGGTGTTTGACAGTTTAAACAGAATAAATAATAGACTGCCTCGTTGGCCGAGTGGTCGTAAGTGCGACTGCCGGGCAAGGGGTCTCGGGTTCGATTCCCGGGTCGGGGAAAGTATTACTGGGTTTTTAAATAATCTCAGTAGTAGCACGGAGTCTGGAATTGTGCCCGGTATATGGCAATAGGCTCACCCCCTATTACATGGGACTCATAACATAAATAGTGAAAAGTGGGTGTTACATTGTACAGTGCTATAATGTGCACCTCTGCCTACCCCTTCGGGGATAAAAGGCGTGACGTTATGTTATGTTATAAATAATAGCAGAGTCAAATTAAATTAAGTGATAAATACGATGCAACGGCCCAACCACGTGCGATTTTAGCGGTGAGCGGGGTGGCGGACGTCGCGGCTAGACGTCTAACCGAAATGAATACGGCTGATTCAAAATCCGCTGCTGCTCGAAATGTTCAACTTTTCATCATGGGTTTTAGCGATGGTTTTCGAGGGTGGTAAAACTGATAGTGTTGTCAAAATATGAATCCAATATGGCAGTTGCATGAAATTTTCAACGCACTTGTAACGCCTCTGGTGTTCCAAGTGTCCATGGGCGGCGCCGATTGCTTACCATCAGGTGATCCGTATGCTCTTTTACCGCCTTAACCCATAAAAAAATTACAAATAATATTTTTCAGTAAGTCAAATATCTACTAGGCATTTATGAAGACATTCATTCTTGATGTAAATATTTTAGTAAGTATTTATTTATTTATTTTTATATTTATTGACGGTAAACTATTCAATTGCTTACCTTTATGCGCATTCATAACTCCATGCGTGAGTGTGTGGTCAGTGAGACTCCACCGCTTAAGGCTTGTGTCTCGAGACGCGCTGTACAACGCGCCGTCTTCTTGGCTCAGTGCTAGAGCTTGTACGCCGTCGTAGTGAGGCGGCTCTAGTAGCCATCGATTGCTTGCTTCGTAATTACCTAGTAAAAATAAATGGTACTTTTAGAACAAATCTTCATTTGTGGCAATAAAATACATCTGCTATCCCTGCTTTGATTGTGCCAATATTTTTAAAGTAACCAACTTTAATGTCACTTGTAGTTTCATTATCATTATTATCATCATCATGGCCTGCTGACCATAGGCCTCTTATCGCAAGGAGGAGGTTTGAGCATTAATGATCACGCTTGCCCAATGCAAGTTGGCGATAGCATCACCAGTGTTTAGTTTAAAATCAAAAAAGTTTGTCTCACTCTGATGTGTAAAAATAGTTTAATTAAAGCCATTATCTAGATAATTGTCCTCTATTGGACATTTCCTCATAAAGACCCCGCTATATCTTCGATATCTCAAAGCTAAGTGCTATCCTGCAATTTCATCCGGACGACGTAAATATCACAAGCAAATGTGTGACGTAGGTCGCAAGCAATACATACCAGTGTCCTGTGGCAGCATGTCGAGCGTGCGCACGTAGTGGTCCTTGGAGCCGGTGGCCACGAGGTCCCCGGGCCCGGCGCGGCCCACGGCCAGGCACATCACGGCCGCCGCGTGCCCCGTCCACAGCTTGCACACGCACTCCATCCTGCGTACACACGGGGATTAAAATAATTCTTCACCATAATTTTTCCTATGTCGTATGTATGTCACACCACACCCAAACCCAGAATAACAATTTTCAGATTACACAGAGTTGTTCGAACCCATGACGCGTTATGCAGCAGTTAGTCAGCTAGCCACTGCGTCAAACGTGCATTCCAAATATTATTATTGTTCAATTATTTAATTTCGCATTTGTAATATAACCTATGTACCTCATACTTGTAATGTGTCGTCCTTTGTAATATTGTCTGTGTGGTGTAGGTATATGAAATTATAAATAAATAATTTTTTTTTTCATTATAACTCTTTTTGATACAGTGTTTTAATTAAGTATTATCGAGTAGTAGTTAATTACTACTCGATAATTTGAATACTTACATCCTGAGGTCCCACAGCCTGAGTTTGTCTCCGACGGCGGTGTACAAGCGATGGTTCTGTGCGAGCGCGAGTGCAGTGACGGCCACCTCGCCGCCCACGCCGCGGTTAGCTGGGCACGGACCTGTCACTCCTGACGACCTGCGGGGGACCATGGACGTGATAATTCTCATCATCATCTTGTAAAAGATACTCTGCTGAATATAGGCAAGGGAGATGTAGCGGTGTTGTTTTCATATACGCCACATTTAGTAGGCGGATTTTTCAATTCCCTAATTGAACCTTACATTTTTAGAAAATAATTATCATAACCGATTTTAGTATGAAAGTTAGTGTTGTGATATTTTCAACAATAGTAAAATGTACTGCTAGCCAGTATTCAGTGTAATATTACTTTCACAACATTTTTATTACTATACGTCTTTGACGTAGATACGAAGTCACATATAATGGGATTGAGTTTTATTACTTATGTAGTATTTTAGTAAAATATCAATTATGCATCTATTTTGTAAAATAGCTACAGCAGATTTGTAAAATAGCTGTCACGAGAATCATGAAATAATTTCATATTTTCATATGTTCCTTACCAGAGCGTAGTGACGGGAGTACGGGACCGTGTATCGAAGAGCCTGACGGCGGCGCCGGCGGCGGCCAGCACGAGGCGCTCGGCGGCCGCCAGCGCGCCCACGCTGCCTCCGCACCACCCGCGCCACGTCTCTGTACCCGCCACGAAGTCCCAGCCACGCACTGTACGATCTAAACACAAGAAAGTATATTTTGGAAACTTATTTTTATTCCTCAAAAGGAGACAAATTTACGGTGGTAGAGGCTACTAGTAGCTGCTTTAAACAATTTGAAAGGCCCGGTTAGACATAGAAAGAAATAAAGATAAACTCTTACTTAACTACCTATAGGCTGGTAAGTGAGAGGTCCGGTTGCCCAAGCCGCTATATGAATGTAATGACTTTCAAAGAGTCATCTTGGAAAAGATGAGGAAATTAAACAGTTTCCTACATGAATTGTAACGCTAATTACCATTAGATGGACCGTAAGATTTGTTTCTACTGATAATAAAACTGCAGAGTTGCTAATAATGCTAAGAATGCAATGTCCTCACCGACTCCCCCGCTGTAGAGCAGGTCTGGCGTGGCGGCGAGTGCGAGCGCGGCGCCGGCGTGTCCCTCGGCCACGTGCGTACACTGCAGCCACGCGCCCGTGCCGCTGCCGCCACTGCCACTCGTACGCTGAGTCACAGGGAATAAGAACCTTATTGAAAGGCTGGTAACTGTATTTTTGTATGCTTCATACTCGTTATGTTTAAATTGATATTGAAAATACTGATGAACGTTTTATAAGTTTTAATCAAGATATAGACATTATTGTTTACCGTTAAGTAGCTATGAGTGGAATTGTACTTAATCAAAAAGTTTCCTTTCCGAAAACTAACTTTTGTAATGTTTTCTGTTAGCTTTAAGAAAAAATGAAAAGGTAATAGTATTATTTACAAACAAAAAAAAATTTGTGATCAAAATAAAAATCATCGGACTCTATTAATATCAAAATTCAATCAACAATACACACAAACAACATTTTAAATTATACAATACACATTAAGCTTTTACTAACCTTCAAAGCAATTTCTTTGACGACGCCCTGAGGAGTATTATCGTTGCCAGCGCCCGTGAGACGGAGGAAGACGTCATCATCTCGCGCTCTCCGCGCGGCGCCCGGCGACGCTGGGGGAGTGCCGACGGTCGCACTCGGCTCTCTGAGGTACCACAGCCAGTTAGCAAGGAAACAATTTGGAGGAAAGATATGTTACATGAATATTTTAAGGTATAGAAGCCAGCACACAAGGTAAAGAAGATCGGGTGAGACGTGCCCAACCTTTGAAGCTTAGAAGAACGTTTAGAACATTCATTCTTTATTGGACTTTCAACTTTATTTACTTTGTCATAAAGTTGAAAATATATGAATATAAGTCACTGCATGTGCTGACGTCTATAATACGATGAAATTACATTATTACAGTGATGTTAGTTGCATCCCAATAGTGATATGTTTATTGGTTTTAAGTTAATGTTAAATCTCATGCAGTTTGCAAAATGGAATATCTAACACATATACGGAAGTCATATAGTATTACATACATAATTATTTCGATTCATTGAGTAAATTATTATTATTACAAATTTAAGAAGTACTTTTTAGTGAAAATAGTAAATTGTAAAGCAGTTAGTACCTAAAGGGTGATTTTGTTTAAGTATTATTTCTGTGACCTGCTTTCAGTGAATCTACTACCATTGGTTATATTATTTAAATTAAAATTGGGATGTAATCGGACATTGTAAAATTTATTTTACTGTTATTAATTTTATGAATGACATTAGAGATGGCCCAAATTCAAACGATAACGATCATAACGATAATATTAAAATATGAAATTAAAAAAATGGATGATACATTATGTACTCAAAAGCTAGGGATTTTGGACATGACAACATTGAACGTAGCAACAAAACGAATGAGGCCAACGGGGCACAATTAGCCATGCCATGGAAAAATGTGACAAAATGACGAACAAACTAACAACACAAAAAATATACTTACAGTGTCTACTGGTCGGGAATTCTATCTTGATTTAAAACATTCAGCTACAACTCAACTTGCATTTCTACTTAGTATTGCAATAATTTTGCGTTTAAAATTAGAACATCCTATATATGTGATTTTGTCTACATACTATTAGTGCGACTAAGCACTACTCTTATTGTTTGGTCACCCATTGAAACAACGTTTACTATAAGTTAGTTTACAAAAAGGAGAAACTAGGTTTTTATTAGTACAAAAATAATTTTGAAAAGATATTATGTCTAGACGACCACATCAAGTTTCCTTAAATTTATGGAAATTATCCAATAGATTATGACTTTTATTGTGAAACTTATAAGGTTGAGAATCTGTTAAAGCTATTGACAGATTGGATAGCTTAATATGGTCGGTGCTCCATAATAAAATAGAGGTCCTATCACTATTCGCAATATAATATCGAACAAGAGCGAATTCGACAAGTTTTCATAGAAAAATAAGAATCAAATCATGATGTTCAAATACAGTTTTTAATCAGGCGATTTCCTTAAAAACATTTCAAAGACCAATTCACAATTGAATAGCAATTTTTCATAGTACAAAAACCAGCAGATGATCATACTCCGGACTGTCTTTAATGGATTTATAACTTTATTGCTAAACAGGAAAGTTTAAAATCCATTGCGAAACTTTATAAGTTGAAGTACATTGACCTGAGGGCTTAGTGCAAGTTTGTTTTAGGTTTAACCAGATCCAGCGCTCTGATTGGTTGGTTCATTGGAGCCGGCTAATCAGAGCGTCGAACGCATTAACGTTTCGATCAAGTTAAACTTAGAACAAACTGGTACTACACCCTCTGCTATGCTTTGCACATAATATTTATATACTATTTACCAATACACAGTCTATGCTATATCATGCAGTATATAGCGGGGGTGCGGCATGCCGGTAGCAAACAAAACACAAGCTGTATTGCAACTATTTATTGTGCCTACATAATATACATACAAAAAACACTGATTACAAATTGCACAGAGACTTCATTTACTTTATAATCTATGACATGAATCATGCTTAGATTTTTCGTGGTGGAGGTAGTTTGCATAATGTTTTATCTCGTTATTTCTTGTTTAATTTAATTGTCAACACTAATTCTCACGATAACTTTTTCGAAATAGATACGACTAAAAATTCATAAAATAATAAGAAAAACGCAAAGCTAAACAACAAAATCTAGTCATTCTTCGTGCCGGGAATTATACTTAGCTTATTGGAATTGCATGTGTACGTGTAGATTAGTATCTGTGCACTGTATAATCCGTGTCATCTCGAGTTAAAGCTTAAGTTACACTTGTGACGGTATCCTTACAAACTACTTCAATATATTACAGTAAAATGCAACAAGCTAACAATTCCTTTGGATTAGTATTATTAATTTACATTTTTATGCACTTCTTAAATGCACAGTTCCCTTACAAACTATAAAGATAGAAGAATTCGTTGATCGATAGTTATACAAAATTAGATCATGTGATCATCACAGTTAAGTTCAAATTTCAGCTGCCTAAAGTGATAGTTATGCGGTATCACGATTAGAATATTTGGTCCGATACCCGTATTAGTGACAATTTACATACAATAGTTTGTATTAAAAGTTAGTATTTTGCCTAACATTTATAAATATACTTGATAAACTTTAGTGCATACGTGAACGTACAATGAGTACGTAAAGTACGGACGGGCCCGTAAAAAATGTCCTTAATTTTCCCCCGTCTTAAGTCATACATCAGAAACTATACTATTAATAAATATTGTTTTAAATACATTTGCTTGTATTAAACTAATATTAGATCAGCTTAAAAAGTGTGACAGAATAAACGCAAGACTAAGCAGGTATTGGTTCAGAGTCATAAAATTGAACAAGTTTTGTTTTAGACGTTTTGTCAATGCAGTAAAACAAAACTTGTACTTTCCATAACATAACTAGTCATTAAATTTGAATGAAAACCTATAGCAAAATGTTCTAGCGTAGGTTACGAAAATATAACGGACAACCTGTCCACAAATGAGGACGTTTAATGAGATCGAAATCGAAATGTAACCGCGATCGGCGCTGTGATTGGTTGGTTCATTCGAGCAAGCCAATCAGCGCCGAACGTTCCAATCTCGCTAAACGTAAAACAAACTTGTACTAAGTCCTCTGAAGTCTGTATTATATAATATAAAGCTTTCGTTTTCAGCAAATACATATGGGTTATAAAGCAATAAGCTAGAGAGACATAACTCTATTAGCAATACAGAATGTAGCCATACATTATTTTAATTAGCAATTATTGTTCAATATCACAACCTGAACCACTACCTATAGGATGTTACGCATACTAAGTCACACTTTATATGTTATATAGATATAGTATATGCTATAGATAAAGCAATAGATAAGGAGTGCGCATGCTGAGCGTCGTAGTGTGTTAGAGACGGGCGGGGGAGGCCCGGGCCGGCCTCAGTCCTCCACTATCCGCAGCTCGGTCAGCAAGCTGCAAGTTGCAAGAGTTGCAACAAATACCGCGTCACCCAACCATAAGGCCTTATTCGTACGAGAGCTTTTTTAACGTCGTCTTAGCGTTGGCTAGTACACAAAGCAATTTAGTCTCATATACCAAAGCCCAGCGTTGAAAATGCAACACTGCTTGATAAAAGCGTTCCGTTTTAAAGGCGCTGGATATATGAACGTTTTTATTTTATCGCTTTTATAACGCACGTTAAAATAACTCGTACGAATGAGGCCTTAATGACGTGCAAACTTACTTACGGTACGTAATAAATATATTATAGTATTGTTTACATGGTCCTACTACCTCGTTGGTTGAGTCGCAAATGTTACTGCCGATCAACAGGTCTCTGATGCCATTCCTGTCCCGTGGACAAAGACAAATAGGAAAATCGGTAGTTGAATAAAATTGAGAATTAATTGTCAAAAGCCCAGCGCACATCGGCCGTGGCGCGGCGAAGATACTGACTAACAGTAGGTGTTATATTTAACACGTGTTTCGACGCATGACTGTTTAAGAAATAAGAGGCGTAATGAAATATTTTTTATTCACATTTTCAGAAGTTTCCAGCAGAGAAAGGGAAGGGAAAGAAGTAGTATGGTAAGCAAGTTCATGTAAACAATTGTTTCTAATAAAATTTTTGTTCTTGAAGCTCAATTTTTTCAAGCGATTCAAAAATGCGCTGTAATAACCGTAAATAACTCTGCACGTGTAATTAGATTTCTTATTATTATTAATTTACTTAAAGAACAACGACTTCTTCTGATTTTCGCCTTTAACTTCGTCGAAATCACTCGTTCAAACTAACTAAGAGCTTAGTACGAGTATGTTTTAGGGTGTGACTATATCTGGCAAATGCTCCGCGAATGCGAGCCTTGCGAGCCGCCAGCGACCGGCGCACGTGCATTTAAAATTATTATTTATACGAACTATGATTGCTTGTGAGCTGCGATTTCGCCAGATGTGGACGCACCCTTACGTTCAACGTGATCCACACAATTATAACGTTCGGTGTTCTGATTGGTCTGCTGCAATGGAGCAACCAATCGGAAGGGTAAACGCTGTAGCATTTTGATCTCGGTAAACATAAAACAAACTGGTACTAGGCCCTCTGAATAACACACATATCTCTAATCAGCTCTTAAAATTAAGCGCTGTTAGGGAATTATAAAGTTGTTTCTATCATATAACAGCGCCTTTCCTTAAGTGGCTAGGCAGTGGTGTAACTCCAGTATACTCACTTTGAAGCTGTTATGTAATAAACATATTCAGTACTCCTATTTAGATTTCGATACTATATTTTGGGCGAAAATATGATAAAACCAGTCGTTTCTTTAAGTAAACTTGCATATCCTATATTTAAAAGGTGTAACAAAACAAACGCAAAAAATATTGTAGTTTAACGAAAAATCAACATTCCATAGAATGAAATGGCAATGCGACTCTCAAGCCAACTTCAGACGAATAATGTTTGCCATGACGATCGCACTTAATTATGGACCACGGCCGTGGCTTGAAACTAGTCAAGCACCGGCGACCAGTTACGTGTATTCTAATTAATTTAGTTACTATGTAACAAAAGTTGTCCAATTTCAGGGCTTTGCTAGAAAGTTCGTTTGTTTTGTTACAAGTCATATAACGTAAACACATAAACACATCCCATAGCTAAATACATCTACTATAACGACTACCTCACACCATATAGCACATTTACCCAAGCAGTGTACCATGCAGAAAGGGACAGAGATACCGCTAACACAGGAGTGAAAGAGACAGACATATTTCTAACTACATAAGCTTCAATTTGAATTGATAAGTGTGAAATATAACACCAATTCCCCAACATATCAATATACTAATAATAACAATAACTACTTTTTAAGAAATAGACATTTAGAGAAATAGAATATAACAGAGCATTCAGATATTTGTAATATTCTACATAAAAGATAGGTCGAAAGTGTTTACGTAAAATATATTAATTAAAAACTAATATTAATTGAAGACTGGGTTAGTTTTCAGCAATAATGAAGTTAAAAGCTGCCGTTAAATAATAAAGAATACAATCTAATTTAATTTGACATGTTCACAAGTTTAGACTCTATGTATGTAACAATATGGTTTAATTTGGACTGTACGTGATCACTTCCGGCGTATCGCCCATTCACTTCAAATCCCCCTAAATCCTCCCTAGGGTATGTAGAGTGGGGTGTTGTATACGTACAATGAGGCTGGCTTGGAGAGCTGTCGGCGGGGGGGACGCGGGGACTCGGGGGGAGCGGGGGGGCGCCGCACTGCTACTGGAGACGCCAGCACTCCGCCACTACTGTTCAGGGGCTGGAGACCTCTGTGGACGGTGACAATGTTTAAGGTAAAATTCTCTAATAAGAATAGCTGTAAAATACAATTTAGTAAAAACTATTTCTGTAGAAACGTAAAATTGTGTTAATTGTGTACCCAAAGGTGGGGTTCAGATTTGTTAGTATGATAATGTACGATGTAATTAATGTAGTAGTGTGTCTACATCAGGTGATTGCTCCCCTCGTGCGCTACTTGCGAGCATGTTGCGAACTGCTCGCGTAATTTTATATTCAAACGTGCAATCGTCAGATGTGGACGCACCATAATCACAATTATAATCTGAGATTTATACAATACAATAATAAGATTTTACCAAGCCATTTCTTACGTAAACACCAAAATAATTTCGAAACCAATGAAACAGTAGGTACTCAAAATTGAACTTTATAGCACATTGTAAAGGCTGACAATGACTTACCTGAGACTTCCAGGAGCACTAGGCACGCGACTGAGTGGTATGGGTCGTGGTGAGGCGGGCTCCACCATGGACTGAGTCATCGGGTCCTCGTCCCGACCTATCACGCCCAGGTCGCGAAGACGGACTGAACCGCGACGTTGACTAGATGGAATGAAAATATTTTTTTTAAAATACATGTTAAATGGGATGCCATAAATTATTTGAACGTCAAAAAGTAGTACATGCGTAAAAATGTAGGTTCTCAACTATTAATGTGAAAGTGTTTGATTTCACCACGGGTAAAGCCGCGGACAAAAGTTAATATAGATTCTTTTTAGCAATTATTCATATAGCGGCAAACGAGCAGACAGATCACCACCTGATGGTAAGTAATCGGCATCGTCCATGGACACCCTCAACAGTAAAGAAGATTAGGGCATTATTGAGTATTGTCATATCAGTACGAAGCATACAAAAAACTAAGTAAGCATTATTAAATGGAAAACAACACTAACGTGTTCCTCTGGAAGGGTGAGGGCGTGTTGTCGTCAGGCGGAGACGTGGGCGCCGTACTAGACTCACGGACTCCGTTACTGGGACGTACATCTAGTAGCGAGCTGGAATACAAGACGATATTAGTACAAGCTATATAAGAAAATTAATTCAATTCCTCAATAACAGTTATTTGCCGTCATAGGCAAATTGCATTAACAAGTAGTTGACTGCCGTAAGACGGGGTGAATAAATGTTAGAACATTTTCCCACCCCTCTTCTCTCACCCCTCGATTTCTATTCAACCCGTTTTACCGTTGTGTAGAAAATGAAACTTTTGTTCGATGAATTATGTCAATAAAAATTAGATTAAAAATGTTTCAATAGAAATAATGGTTCTGTATACCTGTCTACAGGCGACACGGATCGTGTAGAGGTGCCGGAGGACACGTGTTGCAGTAGTGCAGACAGCGCGGCAGGCACGCCCCACGGGTTCAGGTTCTGGTCCGCGCTGGCCAATCGCAGCGCCGCCGCAGAACGCTCCGATTGCTCCTGCAACTGTACAAATCATCGAGATATTTTTTAGTAAAAAAATTATAAATTTTTAGATGCTAAAAATGTATGAAAGGTCATAGAAATGTTTTAAATATGTTGTTTTTTAGGCTAAATTACCATTAGTTTTTTTAGTAAATTTTTGTTTCATTAGAATAGAGCACGTTCAAGAGAAGGAAGACGTGATCAAGTGCTCAGGTCATTTAAGGAGCTTGACCAAATATGCCTGTAGCGGGCTCAAAAATTGTAGTTATTGAAGGCAAAAAGAATAGAATTTCAACTGAAGTATATAGTAATACAGTGGCGAGTGAGTGCGGCGTACCTCCGCGAGCTGCGCGCGCGTGTCGTGCAGCAGCTTGTGTTGCCGCGCGGCGTCCTGCGCGTGCTGCAGCGTCAGCGCGGCCAGCCGCGACAGCGAGTAGCGGCCCGCCTCCGCGCTGCACACCTGCTCCAGCACCACTGGTAACTGGTTCTCGTCGTTCTCCTCCTGGGAACCGAGGATTACATAATCATGTAATACTAGCTATTGCCAGCGACTACGCGAGCGTTCCCGATGTAGCTTTATGTGTTATTCCGTACCTTAATTTACCCTTGTTCAAAATTCAATCCCTATCCTTTTAGCCGTTTTGACATGTTTAAGTAACAAACAGCTACACAAACTTACAAACTTTCGCATTCATAATATTAGTACGATACTTTTATAGTGAACCTACAATAAAATCGGGTGTTGTCGACTTCGGATGGAGTATCATGGAAGACTTCTACTACCGCCTTTTGTTCAATATCCCGCGAAAATATAAAAGCAATGTTTCTACACTTACTGTAGTACTTAAGTACTTACTGTAGAAACATTGCATCAAATCATTCTAGAATATTCAATCGGTTTTCATTCTCATCTCGAGGACAGAAAGTTGTCCTCAATAGTTTTTATCATATATGCCTCATGCGCTTTGATATTTGGAGTTCCGCAGGTTTCTCGCTTGGGACCAATTGATATCAATGCCTTCAGTAATGATAAAACAAATTGAATGGCTATACTTTTAAAAATTGGAATTCGCCTAAAATATGTGTTCTAAGACTTCAGTAATCACCTAGAAATCGTTATTAGCAATGCGTACCTCAATCTGCATGATCTGCGCCTGTGTGTCGGCGATGGCGTCCCGCAGGTAGCGCAGTAGATGCAGCGTGTCGGGGTCGCTGGCGCCCCTGGCACGCTCGCGCTGCGCCAGCAGGCGCTCCATGGCGGCCTCCAGCTCGCCCAGCGTGACGCGCGCGGCCACGGCGCGCGACACCCAGCACTCCAGCCGGGACCACGCCTCGCGGCAGCTCTTGCTCGCGCGGGCCTGCGCGCGCTCTGCACACATATACACGGTCATTATATTCGTAATTCACGACTATTATACGATTTAAGTTAGTCACTCAGAACAAGTTATTAAGCGCACAATATTTATAATGTGCGCGTACTTAAATGTGATAATAGTTAAAGGAGTATCTGAGCGAGTTTCACTTTCTAGTGAGATAGAAAAATATGAGTTAAGAAGTCACTTACCATGCAACCTGCCCGCCGCTCGACTGCTGAGCTTGTCACGATGTCCTCTCCTTAATAATGATACCTCTTCTTGTTTACGACGTAACACCTAAATAATTAACATGAACATTAGATAACAGAATTATTTTCATGGATGAATATTAGTTTAATGCCTATTTTAGAACTTAATATTTTAATAGAAAACTTACCGCTTCCTTCATCTTTGTCTCAGCTTCCAATGATCGGATCAAGTTGGCGTTCTTACGAGATTCTTTGCGCAGTTGTGCTACCTGCAAACAATATATTTATCATAAATTACGATTATAAATATACAAAATTATAATGTTCAATAGTACTCGTACTATTGAACATTATAATTTTGTTGCTACAGAGCTATCCGAGCGGCGCACGACCACTCTCGAACAGGGCCGACAGCATCCGTCAAAGCGATGCCGCGGGAAACGAAGTTAGTTTCGGTTTCGGCAAAAGTTTCGGCCGATTTCCGAAACTGCCGCCGAAACTTGATGTTGGCCGAAACTCGGCCGAAACCGAAACCAAACTTTAAGTCGGACACTAATAATATCATATTTTTTTTATAAATGTGATTATTAATCTAAATGTAATCAAGATACAGACCTCTTTAGCTCGAGCTGCTTCAGCTTGCGCGTGTCGCTTGGCTTCCTCGCGCATACGTTGTACTAGTTTCACCTAGGAAATAGAAATAAGTATAAATACCTCTATAATTTATCTCTCTTTTAATACTTTGTTAACTAACGCTTAGTAGAATACTAACAAACTGCAACCTGAGTAAATCATCATTGTGCTGGTAACCGTGAAATGTAACTAATATATTTTTTGTATATCATGGCAACTAAGGGAAGCCTAAGTGAATATATGATGTCTATAACACGACGTAGAAAGAACTAACGAGACAGTTCCAACCGCCTCCAAAGAACCATCCAATCAGAGCGCCGAACGCGTACTCGTTTCGAATACTATAAACGTCAACCAAACTTGTACTAAGGCCTCAGAGTGCCAAGCACGAATAACTATCGCATTCGTATCGTAACAGTATCGAGCGAGTTAAGCGTTCTGATTGGTTGGTTCACTTGAGCCGGCCAATCAGAGCGCCGAACGCGCTTGATACTATTACGTTACGAATGCGATAGTTATTCGTGCTTGGCACTCAGATGACTGTGAAAACCCGCAATGTGCTCTTTGTGTGATCCAGCACCAGATTGTTGTTCCGGGTCTGTGTGTAATGTGTATATGAACTTGTATGTTTGTAAACGCACCTACGATACAGGAGAAAGTCCTAGTCTGGGGAAACGTTAAAAAAAAAGAATAAGCGTTCTATAGTTTCCGGCTCCCCCGTGGGAGACAGGCAGGAGGTTATGTATATCTGTAGATATGTGTTACCTTGTCCCTCTTCATGGCGGTGAGCTCGGTCCGCAGCGTGGCGAGCTGCAGGGCGGCGTGTTGCTGCGAGCGCTGCAGGCGCGTGTGCTCGCGCGCGGCGGCCTGCAGGCGCTTCAGCTCCCGCGACATGCTGCCCACGCGCCGCTCGTATTCTTCCTTCACTCGCTTCAGCTTCTCGCTTGGAGGGGACGCCTGGCTTGCTGGAATAGATATACGCATTCATATTGGATAAGAAACATTTTATATAGGTGAAATAATGTTGTTATCTTTATATGTATAATTCTTCTGTGAGTGAGTATGTCACCGAACTTCTCTCAAACGACTGAATCGATTTTGATGAAACTTTTTGTGTGTTCAAGGGGATCTGGGAATGGTTTAGATTCACAAATCAGCCCGGCAGATATGGCCCTGCAGTCGTATCTAGGTTAATTATCTCCACTTATTATTATATTATATGTAAGACAACGTCTGCCGGGACCGCTAGTATTGTTATATTTCTTTCGTCGTTTGCCTGTTACACTAGTTAGTTTAATAGACTGCAACATTCATTATTTGTTGATTTTACAATGGTGAAGTAGTATATGTACTTAGTCATAAGCTAGTTAGTCTAACCTTTAGCTAGTCTATAATAAACGCTTGACTAACTAAATCAGACGTGTTTCCTTTCACGACACACACACACACACACTGACATACTTCAATGGTCTATGTTTATAAGCATGATACGTTAGCAAGTTTCGTTTGTCTAGCCCTCAACATATTTTATAATTTCCATAATATTCAATACATCGAAAAAAACTCCTACAGTAAGACTAAATAAAGTAACAGAACGTAATGCGTGGCGATACAGTCCTGAGTTTATACTGCTTTTATAAAACTAGCTGACATGGCAAACTTCGTATATTAAAAATTAGCCTTCAAAAATTAGCTGAATCGGTCCAGCCGTTTTCTAGTTTTAGCAAGATTTCAAAATATACGAACTTCTTTTTATCTAACTTAACCCTATTGTTTTATCTAACACAGTTAAAAGTACGATCTACACGAAATGCAAAAAAAATAATGTAAATAGAATCGACATATACGCAGTAATTTAATCTGCAGTAATTTTTTGGTTTGAAAAGAGTGAGAAAGATGGCCTATGCTTTCGGTCTAGCGCCATCTCTTTCTCGCTCGTAACGTCTTAACTACGGTACTATTTTAAGAGAGATAAAGATAGACCGAAACTTATGTTCCTTTCTTTCTTTCGGAGTGCCACAATTCTCATCTCTAAGGCATGCCCATTAGTATATGTCGATGGTAAATAGTTTGATTCCATGTTTGAACGTACCAAGTGACGCGAGCACTTTATCCTTTTCGTCATTGGTAGCTTTGATCTGATGGTGTAGTGTATCCAGTCGTTGCTCGTAGTGCGTCCTGAGTGCCGCCAGTCGTCGCTGCGACAGCTCCAGTTGTTCTATGAGTCGCGCCTTGGTGTCTATGTCCTCGCTCAGCGCCGCTAACTGGGCGGAGAGGACGCGCTGACCTGAGGATGTAAAGGTCATATGGATTTTTGTAGTGAATGGCTCGTGTGGGACTAAAAAGGTTTATTATGTAGGTATGTTTTCAAGAGGTTAGTATGGAAGTCAATTAAAAAATTATAAACATTAATGAGAGGTATAAAAGAGCTTGTTTATTAAGTAACGATGCGTAAAACGTTGGAGCACGCCTATAAGCAAGCTGTTCACTCATTATATTAGAGCTTTTGTGAGACTGATAAATGACGTGAAATTAATATTACATGGCGGATTTATTCAACACTAGATAAACCGTAGAAAAGTGTCATCAGTAGCTTTTTAAACAAATTTGTCAAGGAATTTAAAATATTCGTACCTTTAACTTCAGAATCCTCTTCCTCAGAGTCGCTAGCCTCTCCATCGCCGTCCGAAGGTTCAGAGTCCTCTGCACTCTCTCCCTCGGCCCTCTCCCTCTCTCCTATAGGCCTGTCGTCGACCGCACTCGTCATGCTCTCGCTCATATTCAGTTTGCGCTGGAATTCTAACTCTCCCATGCTACGCGCCAGTAACTCTTTCTCCTACAAAAATGGTTAAAAGATTAAGTTTAAATATCATTACATAGTACAAAACGAAGTCGCTATCAGCCATCTGTCTGCTCCTATGTATGCTTAGATCTTTAAAACTACGCAACGGATTTTGATGCGGATTTTTTAAATAGTTATAGTGGTTTTTAAGGAAGATTTATATGTATAATACAATCATATTGCATCCGTGCGAAGCCGGGGCGGGTCGCTTGTATATATCTTGATAAGAATTAATACTAAATTCAACGTAACGTAGCAAGCCATGTCTTATAATCTCCGAAAGTGGGTAGGCAGAGGTGAACGATGTGCACATATAATTTTATGGCACGTGCACGTTTTATTAGTCATGGGGTCCCATGTATTTGGGGATGTGCCTATCGCTATACGTGTCCAATTCCAGGCTCTGGGAACCACTACCAAAATCCACTTTAGCGCTTGTCTACAGAGAGAGTAGAAATTAAAATGTATGGGGATGACACTGACAAGTGTCAAAATTTACGTCAGTTCCATATAATTTGGTTTTCTTTCTACATGTAGACAAGCGCTAAATGACATTTGGCTACAGCTGCAGGTAATAATGATTAAATTAAATGTTAGGAAGCACACTTAAGCATTGTCTATCGTAACTTAAATAACATCTCAAATTGAACCCTCAGATTGAAAATTATAGGGTGGTCTCTACATGATAGATGACGTACCTTATACAGTTCCCGTTTAGCATCATCGATGATGAGTGACGGATCCTGGACGGAGTCGTGTCTGGTACGAGCGACCGTCGCCTCGCGCTTGCGACTCGCTTCGTACATCGCGTTGGATTCCAACAGTTGAGCTCGAAGGTCTTCTATTTCGCTTACGTAACCCTAGGAAGTGGAGAAAAGAAAATCTCATAATAACAAATAACTAAAAATATACTCTATCTTAGTAGTTTGTCGTGTAAAAGCTATTTTATTTAAGACTAGCTTTTACCCGCGGCTTCGCTCGCGTCACAAAAGGATAAAAAGTAGCCTATGTGACATATACCAATACACACAGCGCCATCTATACTAATACTTTTTTCCCTCGGGAATATCAAATCTTTCCGGGATAAAAAGTACCCTATTATTCAATCCGGACTTCTAACTTTACGTCAGCAAAAATTCAAAGTAATCGGTTTAGTAGTTACGGCGTGAAAGCGGAACAAACAAACAAATTCACTTTCTGATTTATAATATTAGTAAGGATCTCAAGGAGGTGTAGCGCTGTCGTTTACAATGCTAACTAACCTTAACATGGCGATCATCTTGCATTAGTATTACAAGATTTTTTTTTAAATCTATAAATTCTAGCAGACAGGCTGCCGTGCAAGGAGTCTCGTGGTCGATTCCCGCACGGAACAACACTTTGTGTGATCCACAAATTGTTTTGGGTCTGGTCTGGTCTGGTCTGGGTGTCATATGTTTGTAAACTTGTATGTTTGTAAACGCACTCACGACACAGGAGAAACACCCTTGTGTGGGGCAACGTTTAAAAAAAATCCATAATAAATAACTAATTCACATCCTTACTTGCACAAGTGCAGTCAGTGAGCAGTCATTAGTATCAGGGCTGCCATCTTTAGTAGTGTAGTTCCCGAGCGCCTTCTCAGCAATGAGCTCACTGTTCCTGGCCGACAGCTGCTCGATAGTACCCTGCATGGCCTTCACTCTCCGTCTTAGAGACTCCACCTCGCCGGTCAGTATTGCATTTTCTTGGACTACGTCGCTCCAGCCCTCCTCGCCGTTTTCTGATATCACACGTTTACCCTGGGGACATTGAGAAATACTATAATAAGATAGAAATAATATAATAGTCTTGGCATCAAGAGCATACAATTGTTGAATAAAGACAATATTTGAATTACAAAATTACACTTCGGACTGCCTCGTTGCCGAGTCGCAAGTGCGACTGCCAGGCAAGGGGTCTCTAGTTCGATTCCCGGGTCGGGCAAAGTATTACTGGGCTTTTTAAAAAAATGTCAGTAGTAGCACGGAGTCTGGAATCGTGTTCAGTATATGGCAATAGGCTCAGCCTCTATAACATGGGATCCATAACATAAAAAGTGGGTGTTGCATTGTACAGTGGCATTAAAGGCCCTAATGTGCACCTCTGTTTACCCCTTCAGGGATAAAAAGGCGTGATGTTATGTAAAGTTACACTTTACGAATGAGAGGTTCTGGATGTAGTCATAGAGTAAATAACCGCACCAAGAACGAAACTATGCAGTCACTAGTGTAGAGAAAGAAATATGACCAGGCAGTGGACTTTTGACCTTTGACCGTACCTGTTTATATTCAGCAAGCTCGAGCTGCAGCCTGGCCACCTCCTGCCTCAACTGGTGTATAGTCCTCGACGTCAGGTCCTGGTTCACCACACATCTGTTCTTGATATTCCTCGCCCTGTTCGCGTATTTCAGTGTATTCAACGTCTCCATGAAATCCCTATCACTAGGAGACACACAGGCTATCATGACTGTATTACTGTTCCCTCCTAATGAATCCTGGAGTAACCTCGTTAGTTTCGAGTCCCTGTACGGAACGTGTAGTACTTTTCTAGAACGATCTCCAAGAGCTGATATCACATTGCCAAGAGCTAGGAGCCCGCAGTTTATTGATATACCTTCTTTTGCTCGCTCGCCCGTTGCACCTGTTAAAAAAAGTAATCATTAGTTATATGATCTCGCTGGCCGAGTGGTCGCAAGTGCGACTGCCGGGCAAAGTATAATTGGGTTTTTAAAAAATTCTCAGTAGTAGCGCGGAGTCTGGAACTGTGCCCGGTATATGGCAATGGGCTCACTCCCTATTACATGGGAATCATAACATAAATATTGAAAAGTGGGTGTTACTTCTGTGTGCACCTCTGCTTACCCCTTCGAGGATAAAAGGCGTGATGTTATGTTATGTAGTTATGTGATATGAAGACATGAACTAAAAGGTCTCGAAATGTATCAAAAGGTCTTACCTGTTCGTTTTAATCTTTCAGATCCAGCTAAATCAACAAAATGGAACTTCGCAGTAAGTGTCTCGTATTGTTCGGGTGCTTCGGAGTCTGCATCTCTATCTACCGACGTATCCTGGTCTGGTGCCAGTCTCCTCTGTCGGAGTAAGAGAGTAAATACTGCATGTGATCGTGAGGATGAGGAGTTCATGTTGGTAGCTGCCGTGGTCCTGGCGAGGGCACCTGCTCTTAATGCCCCCAATGCCTCTTGAGCACCTCTCACCGCTCGCATCGAAGCCCCTACTATGCGAACGCCGCCGCAACCATCTTCTGTTATCCTGAGTGCGCCCTAAAACAAATTACAGTTAAAAATATATGAATAATCCCGACTGTTGATGTGCAGATGTGTAATTGAAGACAAACGATTGAGGGTAGGTTTGCAATTATGTGACTATCTTGTGAGTATCTTCAAGTCTTCAGAGAATTGTATACGAGAACAGAAACACACTACGGATGAAAATATTACTCTAGTGATCAATAGAATTTAACTTATACACATTTTCAAGTAGAAACACAAACATAATAAAGAATGAATCCCCCTTATCGCAACACGTATACCAGATCCACGTCACACAGGAAAATTAAACCGTAACACATGAATAGATTCACGGAAATATCGAATTCTAGATAAATATAGCATTTTCCGTACTTTCTATTATATGGAGATAAGGAACACGTGCCGATACATGCGGGTATGAAAGATACCACGATACCATGCTTGCACGCTTCACTGGCTCCGTGCTCTTCAGGGAAACAATTAGATTACCTTTATTAAGACTGCGAGGTAATGATTTGTCGCACGACTGCGTACATGACAGTGGTTCGTGTGAAGTTATTTACGAACTTCTTTGAATGTTTTAAGTAGAAACAAAGATAGACAATGTGTACATATTAAATTTGTTTAGAAAAATTATTAAAAAACCATAAAAGATTTTTTTTTTGAGGTAAGTGCGAGGGCTTTGTACGAGTTTGTTTTACGTTCTTTTAAAGTAATAGAAACGAGACCGCGTTCAGCGCTCTGATTGGCCGGCTTCAATGAGCCAACCAATCAGAGCGCCGAACGCGGACTCGTCTCTGGCCTTTGATTGGTTGGTTTTTTTGGAGACAGCTCTAGAGCCTCTGGTTCCGATAGAAGCTAGTCACTGTCAATTATGATATGTAATGATCCCAGTGATAGCCCTATCTAACTCAAGAAATTCTCAAAGACACCTTATTCGGAAGTAAGGGGTTTTTCCTCGTCTAAGCATTATATTGTATGAAATATTTTCAGTAAATATTATACCAAAACGTTTACTCAGACGCGACCTTGAAAGGTCTTCAAACAAGACCGTTTTAGTCTATGTCAATACGCACAACTGTCATAACCGGAATAAAAACATTATTAATTCAGTATTGTAACAGTTGAGTCTATAATTACATTCAATGTCCTTATAAAAATTTAAATAATGTATTTCTAGACTGTACTAGAGATTCACTTGTATTAACTGTTAAGATTAATAAATCATTATGATCATTCACACTGCTTTTGTCCATTCCTAAATATGTTCAGCATTGAAGTACCCAGCTTCACTGACGGAGAGACTGACAGACTATTATTTATTGTGTATTTGTTGACGTTTCAAAAGTACCAAAAAATGCTTTTATTATGACTTCCAATAAAGTAGCTATGATGATTTGATGTGCCTTTGACTCAATAAGTATGCAGCTTAAACCATGATGGATCGTATAATCGTTACTAAGATAATAAATTAGCGGTCATATTTTTTAACATAAAACTTTGTTAAATATCGCATCATAACATAACATAACATCACGCCTTTTATCCTCGAAGGGGTAGGCAGAGGTGCACATTATGCCACTGTACAATGTAACACCCACTTTTCACTATTTATATTATGAGTCCCATGTAATAGGGGGTGAGCCTATTGCCATATACCGGGCACAATTCCAGACTCCGTGCTACTACTGAGATTTTTTTAAAAACCCAGTAAAACTTTGCCCGACCAGGGAATCGAACCCGAGACCCCTTGCCCAGCAGTCGCACTTGCGACCACTAGGCCAACGAGGCAGTCTATTTTAACATATCGCATCAATATGTTAAAATAAACCGTTTGTATAATTAATAATTCAGTTCTTGTTAACGACTTTTAGACACAATTTATGATACCAGCGCTGCTCAATTAGAATATCAGAAGCCGTAAGATTTGTCCGAAATCGAATACGATAATCGACTATCGCGGTCAAATCACGAAAACAAAAAAAAATCTAGTTCATGTAATTTTAAATGAATGAATAAATTATAAGTATTATTAACAAAACTGCATACATTATTACACGTAACAACTACAAATACTAATATTAAGACAGCTCAATGCTACCGATAATCCAAAAAAATAAAGCGTTATTGTAATTTTTGCATAAACCACTGTATTCTTCCGCAATAGATGGCACTTGGGTATGGGGCCATCGCTTTTGACATATACTTACATATAATTCACACATCTTAGCAATAAATCAGAAACCGGTTGGCGAATATTGTGGTTAAACTTTTATGGTTTACAAGTATTTGTCATGTTAATACGCATTGAAATTATAAAGTTTAGGCTTGTTTACTTTACATATCCGTTCGCTGTTACGCAAAAACGTTGATTCGATCTTGTAGTTGTTAATTTTTGACAAGCGCTACCAGCTATTCGAATGATATGTTGCTTGTATGAAGTTATGTACCTACAAGCAGATTTTCGCCTAAAATTGGAAGGTATTTCAGTAAGCTTAATAAGAAAGTGCGCAGGTAGGTACCTATGTATCTATCTATGTCAAGATTGTGTATGTCGTGTCCAGAATCAGTAAAATTAACCGACAGTAAGAAATGAGGTAATTTGGAGTTTCTTACGATTTTGTTTTGATTAAAGTCTCACTAATTTAGAAGTATTTATACTAACCTTAGCAAAAGGATCTTTAGCAGGATCTAGAAGGTCGACGATGTCCTCATTGTAGAGTTCAATGAACTGTGCTTGTACGGAGAATTCTGGTGGTAACTGTCCCTGCGCGCGTGCTTCGTCCGCCCTTGCCTCTGCGCCGGCGAACAAGTCTCTGATGGCTCGGGGGATGATCCCACGACGCTCTTCGTCACCATCCCCCTCGCCTTCCCAGCCACTGCCCATGGTATAGGTTTTGCCGGAGCCAGTCTGAAAGCGAGAGTAAATGTTAGAATTTATATATTTTTTTTTATGGCATAAGCCGGTAAACGAGCAGACGGATCACCTGATGGTAAGCAATCGGCGTCGCCCATGGACACCTGGAACACCAGAGGTGTTACAAGTGCGTTACCGGCCTTTTTGGGATTAGGAGTTTGAAGATCGTTGGGGATTCAGGAATTGGGGAGATTGGGGAAGGGGAGCCTAATTGGGCCTACGGTAACCTCACTCACACGAAGAAAAACAACGCAAGCGTTGCTTCACTTCGGTTTTCTGTGAGGCCGTGGTATCACTCCGGTCGAGCTGGCCCATTCGTGCCGAAGCATGGCTCTCCCACACTTTTTTTCTTTGGGAATTACTCTAATTATGAAGTCCGTAGTAAATTCGATCATATAACCGAAACGTTGTAGGTAATGAAACAGAGGTTTTCGGTACCAAATTATAACCGGAAGAGAAGTAACCTCCAACGATAATTAATCTATAAAAGGTGCTAAGGTCAATTGATGACATGGCTTTTAGATCACAATCTGTGAACAAGATTACGTTAAATATTATTGACATCATCAATGAAGTTACCTGGAAGGGGTCCACAACTGCAACGAGTTAGGTTCTTAGGGTTTCATTTCTTTATTAAGTTTCGTATTATTATTTGGACAAGGTACTTTAGTTTAGGTATCTTAATTCGTAGTGTAACACACTATATTTCGCCGTTTATACATAACTTTTTTAAGCAACGTTATCACCTTATACTTATTATATAAAGCGGAAGAGTTTGTTTTTTTTTGTTTGTTTGTTTGAACGCGCTAATCTCCGTGATTACAAGTCTGATTTGAATAATTATTTTTGTGTTGGATAGCGCATTTATCGACGATGGCTATAGGCTATAATACATCACGCTAGGACCAATAGGAGCTGAGCAGAGCGTGTGTAATCGCGCGGAAGTAGCTAGTCAAATTCATATACATAGTTAAGTACGTAATAAACAAAAGCAACAACGCAACCACATAAAAGGACGACTACCAACCAGATGCAAGTCCAGCTGTCTTTTAGAACCCCGGATATATTAACATACGGTACGATGATCACATTAATTAGTTAATAAAAGCCTATGGACAAGCATTAGATATCAAGTTCCCACGGTCACAGAGCGTGACCACGAAATTCACTTTCTAAACTCTTCGCTGACAAGAGTCACAAGTGCTCTTGTAAAACTTAACGTTGGGACACTTGGCGTCATTTGTCAACGATCTGAAGTACGCTTGCATTGAATTATGAAATTTTCTATTTGATAAACAGTATTGGTTTAGTATTGATTTTGGACAAGATTTTGCACAACCACAACGACACAAAACTTCTTTCTCAATCTTTATGGTGTTTGAAAAGTCGGTCAACTCGACATGTCTTAAAATTAGGACTAGATAACAAAAGACAGACGTAGCATCGCCTTAAATTGATCCCCGTTTTAAGCCCAGTTTGAAAAGTGCAGAATTAAGGATTGATTGAAATAAATGCTTTGACTTTGACCCAGAGTTATCTACCAAAAGTGGATATTATAGTAAGCCTCATTTTCAAGGATCATGATGGCGAATAAAAATCCGATACAGAGGGACAATGTAAGAATAACTGTGTCAGCAGTAAACAGACAAGAGTAATAACTTATTCATTACGAGTACAAAGTTGGCCAGTGTATCAATGTTTGTAAAACAGAAATCGAAAGTATGATTACCGCCACGATTTGCTTATTAATTCATTGGAAGCCGGGTAAGGTGAGCTCAATTTCCTTTTGACTTTACACCGTTTAAATATGTACTAACTGACAATTTCATTTTCAGCCTAAAGCCATAAAACTTTCATGTGATTGTAACAATACCTTTACTAAGCTCAGAAACCGAACTCAAAACAATGTAACCAACACTCACAGTCAATCTATTCATGACTAAACCAAAGAGAGCATTCAATTACATATAGGTAAGTATTAATAGCCATTGTTACACATGTTTTGCGGTTCGGACGTTGAGGCGTCACCGCGTCTGCCGCGACAAGCGCGTGACTGCAATACAGATCTCGTGAGACGCTCCAACAATAAAACTAATAGCTTAACAATTATATAATTTATAGAAAAAAACACTTGACGTGACAAATAACAGTTCAGTCAATCAGATAACTGAGGATGAGGCGTAACAAAGAGAGAAAGTATGCAGTGATGCGTCTAATCACATGTGCTGATAATCGTGAGATAAAACTTGGAAAACGGACTTTGCATTACAGGGTGAGACGATGGCGGTATTCGGTAAGCACCTGAGACAATGGACCGGCTAAATATCTCAGGCGGCTTAACAATTTCCTTTCGTGTACCATTGTCTTGCATTACCGTACCGGTTGCAGATTTCATCCTTTATTGCTTTCCTCGGAAATAATCTGAAATATCTCCATTGCAAAATCTATTTTTGTGTTCTCCAAGATCGAGAATCTTGAGCCATCATCAATACGTGAGACGAGAGTTGCATAAATTAAGATTGGCGTGCAGTAAGTGGTATTGTTTCTTTCTGTGCTAGATAGGTCTTCTTATTGCGTCATGGCACCTATTTAGGACCACGCATTGTCATGTGGGAACCTAAATGGGTTAGTTACTCTCATGTCGACGAGATTCGAATGCAAAAGGGGCTTTGTTGCTATTTATAGAGAGGTTTCCAGTAAAATTTATAACGAAAAAAGTTTTAGAAAGCTACTAGTCCGAGTCACGATAGTCTATCTTCCTTAGGAAGTGCTATTTATCGAAGTGATCTATACTTAGCGATACAAAGCTTTCCCTTTCACCAGTATTGTTTGTACTGTTTATCTATGAGAAAAGCCGACGTTTCTAGATGAATCCTCTTAAGCATTTCCGTACAGTTCACAACAAATTTCCAAGTGCCTTTATGGCACACCACCGACATCACACTACGATATCTGTTTGCAGATTTTACGACGTGCATACATCTAATTCAACCTAAAATCCTAGTTCTTATAAAAACTGATAAAAATGGCACAATGAGAACGACATAAATTATTATGTTTTCGGCTTACTCACGTAACTATTTGACGAGGAACTCGACTAGTTTAACTTCGCGCTGCTACTCAGTAGTAGCGCGACAGTCACCGCGTCGCGGGTCTCGAAATGCTGCTCATGAATATGAGCCTCTAGCATGGCTTGAAACTAGTCGAGTACCTCGTCAAATAATTACGTGAGTAAGCCGAAACATAATAATTTATTTCGTATGTCTCACGAAAGTTATAATACAGAGAACGACATAGTTTCGAATTGATGTTTTTCCTAGCACTTCACAGCGCCCGTATAAGAGTTAGGTAATTCTGTTGCCGCTATAACAACTTGAGCAAACGGAGTCATCAATGTTTGTCAAACAAATTATCAAATGTTTGTGAATATGCTAAACTAAGGTTTACAAGGACGAATGCGAAATTGATATTGCTCAAAATCTAGGATATGTATAGGTCGTGGATGCAGTGCCGTTTTGAAAACTAGGCGCGGTTAGACGTAGGTGTTACGTTTTAGTAATAAATACTCCTTATAAGTCAAAGCATATCTTGCAACATTATTGTCCTAGTCTAGTGTCTATGAAGCGCCTACGACACAAAATATAGGGCAAGAGATATTTTTGGCACGATGAGATAAAAGTTAAAAGACAAATCGATAGTTGGTGTTAAAAACATCAAGTCTTATGTCAACATTATATCCTTTGGAACATAATCGCCATTTACGAGATTACCAAAGTGTTTGAATAAAGAGGTCAACCGAATTTAGCCAATGTTTCCAATTCATCTGTGTCAGTACATAGTCTTAAGTAATTTGTCATGCAAAACATGTTAAATGTAGGTGCGTAGTTAATTGATTAGTTTATCACTGTTCAAGGTACTTATAAATCAACGTTTTTAGTTTCAATAACCAGTTTCTAACAGTTCCTTTTGAGGCGCTCTTTCATTATTCTATACTTATGGTACAAGTTAATTGCTCTCTTAACCGGGTTCTATTTATGGTCTGTATATACTGGCTAAAGTATGTTAATATCTGTAAATAATTGTGATCAACAATAATATTACAGTGGCACATTATTATTATTTTATTTATGGAATAGGAGGCGACCGAGCAGTCGGATCACCTGATGGTAAGCGGTCAGTGCCGCCCATGGACACCCGAGGAGTCCCAAGACCAGAAAAGTCACAGGTGCGTTGCCGACCTTTAAAAAAGGAATAATTGTTTTTTAGAGCCAAAGTTTCGTATACCTATTCAATACCAGATAAATGATCAGGCATCATGATCATCACCAGCCAGATTCTGTCTACAAGCGCTCCTTTAATTTTGAGTTACAAAAAGTAATACAAAAAGTATCATGGAATTATTTAAACCGCTGTCACCAATACCTTGCACCAAACGCTGCGGCACAAACCGACCGCAGCGCACAACCGTTTTGTTTACTCTGATGTCACCTGCGCGAAACAGCCTGTATAATGCGGAAACATGTTTCAATAATTATTTAATGGCTTATACTTATACGAACGTAAATTATACAGTACAGTAATCCTTAAATATTCAATTATACGCATGTATTGTTACAATATGGTCATTATACGTTTACATATGGTCTGAACCATTTGTATTCTAGTACTTATACTGGATACTTCATTATATCTATTAGTGTATGTTGATTTGCATGGTTTCTTATTGACACGTGTTCTGGTCATAATTATACGTACCTACAGATTACAAGTCACATGTGTTTTTCTAGGTGTATGTAACGTACATATGCTTGTAAGAATCTAATATTATAGTCATACAGTGATACAAAATAGTGACGATAGATTAGAAGAACCACATGGCACTAAGGACAACACTTAGAGAACTATAAAATATTTTTCTCATATCTTTCCCAGAAATAGGACCTTCATGAAGTATCTCTTTATACTTTAGGAATCGTAAATACCAATGATGATTT